CCAACGTTAATTAACTTCAACGTTGGCTTAACTCCGGCATCCCGTCTCACTCGCTCGTTTGCTCTCTTGCACTTTTTTTCAGTCTCTAGTCCTCCGTCTCTCTCGCGCTGTCTGACTCCACCGCGGCGCCGCGGCGAGAGATAAACGGCGATAATTTTTTAATAAAGCCGAGATGGTTCTGGCATTCGTATTTGCCACATTTCGTATTCAGGACCACTCGTACTTCTAAAATACACTCTCGACGTTTCGTCATTTGAAACTGGGGCGCCTTGTGCATCGTGAATTCTTCGTGCTGGGAAGAGGAGGGAGGGGGAGATCTCTCGAAATAATACGAATTTGGAATTTTCGTATTTTCGAATTCGCTCGATATATCTTGCTGAATAACGCACAATCGTCGTCACTCGTCTGTGTCTGTTGGTATATTAGATGGTGTCCTTCTCTCTTAAGTGATATCCTATAAATCGCACGTCTGCACGTCGGGGAATTCCCTTCGAAATTATTTCCATGCCAAAGTAACGACGCACGAGGCGTCGTTTATCATCTTTTCTCACGCCTCGAAAGACTCGTCTGTGTGGAAAGAATTTTCGAGCGGAATTTTTTCCTTCATGCTTCGCTTTTCTCATCGGCCGTCCTTATCTGCAATCCCTCGAGCCCTTCTCTCTCTCTCTCTCTAGCCGCAGTGAGAACGAACGAGAGAGGAAGGACGGCTCCCTCCCTCCCTCGGAGAGGAGACGCTAGTCCCTCCGAGTATCGATCCGAGTCTCGGCACGTCAAACGCGTACGCGTATCGTCGTTGATTTCATATACCCGGTGTCTCGGTCTCGCAGGAGCTTAATATCGCGCGCGTACGGCACTTCGCGTCTTCAGGATCAAAACCTTTCGCTCGTCGTGAGATCATTTTCGCCCGAGTCGCGCGCGCTGCAATCGCGCGACCTCCTGTCGCGAAGCGAAGCGACGCGTCGCGTCGATGCGAAACCCGAAACCCATTTCTCGAGGATTGATACCGGGTTATACAATTTCACTGAGCGCGCGGCCGTCGCGCGCATTGTTGTCGCGACACCGATGCTACGCGAGGAGTAATCGTTATCGTCGCCACTTATCGGCCGCGTTGTCAATTGCGCGCGAGTGGCCAAGTGTTAATTTCTGCCACAATTAATGGCTATTCCGTCGAAATCGAATGTCTCCAATCGGAACTCGAAAGAACGGTGTGGAAAAAAATTGACAAAAAGGAGCGTCCTTTTTTCTTTCTTATTTTTCTTTCTCAGAGGGAAGCGACGTATGATGATGATGATTATTATCATCATCATCATCATCATCATCATCATCATCATCATCATCATCATTTCAAGGCTAGCGTGCTAGTTGCGTTTAGCGACAGTTTCAGCGGGAATTATTTTTCAGGATTAAGCGATAACAAGAGAGAGAGAGAGAGAGAGAGAGAGAGAGAGAGAGGGGGGGGGACATTGCTGTGAGATATGAACCGCGGTATCTGATATTGTTTTCACGCTGATCGAGTGAACAAAGACGACTACTTCGGCGTCGTTCGGCGCGATGCGAATGTGCAGTTGCAGGACGTCCCATATGATGCGCCGAGCGAGATAATTATCTCGTAAACATAGAAACTCGCCCATTGTCATCCGGCTGTTGAAATTAGAGACACCGACCATCTGCTGCGCGCGCGCTTTGCCATATGTATTACATCTATTTACGTTCCTGATATCAAACCTGTTTCGCGCGTTTCTATGCTCGCGGCGATGACTCTGAGCGAGCGACAGTCTCGCAGGAAATAATGATAATCGCGAGGAACACGTTTCGTCGCGTTAATCGCGCGGAAGTTGGCGGGAAACCGTCGTTTCCTCGCGTTCTGTTAAATTAGATTCGACGCGTTGCTTGCCCCCCCTCCTCTCTCTCTCTCTCTCTCTCTCTCTCTCTCTGTCTCTCTTTCTCTTGTCCGATCGGTCCGCCACGCCAATGCGCCAATGCGATTTATCTCGCAATTCTGCTAGATAATAAAACGGTAGGAACGCGCCGGCAACGAAGAAAACAGACATTTACACGCGAACGAAGCCTGACGACGACGGCGAAGGGAAGGGAAGGGAATGCGGAAGGGCGGGCGGAAATTTATCGCCATCGCCGGATGAGAAAGGAAGTGTCTTTGACAACTATACGTCCGTACGTCGCGAAATGAGACGCGCCGCGGCGGATAAAGTCGTCACGATCTGTCGATGAGCACGCGCGCGCAAACATTCACGGAGGCTATCGCAATCCCACGGCGATTCCAGCGACGACGAGTTTTAGCGAATAGAGCCACCATCCGCGATGATTTCACGATTATCGGCGCGAGCGCGCCGCGCCGGTTCCGCGCGCGCGCTCGACGAGTGTTACGCAAACTCGAGTAGATAGTAAAATCGAGTTACCTACTTCGGCATCGCGGCGGTATCGACGCGGCAGCGGCGGAGAATGCGAATGCGTCGTGTATACATACGAAGAGAGAAGGAGAGAGAGAGAGAGAGAGAGATATAGGCAGGCAGGTAGACGGCTTGAGCGAGCGAGAGAGAAAGATAGACGCAGTGGTGGGCGTTCTAGTAGTGGTCGTGTGTACGCGAGAGAAGCAAGCGGCTCCATGAATGAACCTGTGAGAGAATCCCTCTCTTTCTTCTTGTAACCTCCGCGTGCGCGCGCTCTCTCTCTCTCTCTCTCTCTTCCCGCGAGATTTGCTACTTTCGACGCGACATCGACTATCCGTTGCTGCACGCACAGTGTCACTGGATCAGTGGGCCGAAATTTGCAAGCGCGATTTCTTCCAGCGGCTCGGCTCGGCTCGGCTCGGCTCGGCGCGGCGCGGCGCGGCGGACGGACGGACGGACGGATGCGATAACCGAGCTCGTCGAGCTCGGCCGTTAACCGTACTTTATTACGTCTGACGGCGCGAGAAAGGAATTATTTTCTCGCGTCGGGAGTTATAATATCTTCCGAGTAGCTTGCGCGAATCGGGGTCGCGAGCGAAATCTCGCTGCGACTGCATTTATCGGGTTTGCTCCTCGTGGTCGATGTGTTTCACGTTCTTCCGCCGACCGTCGGCGAAGTAACGTGAATTACGTCCGATTAGTCGCAAGTGAGTCGCTACTTCGTCGTCGGATACTCTTCCGAGTATGTTAACTGGCGGATAGAAGCGCCCCCAACGTTCTCTGTTGTTCGGTCGCGCTCGGCGCGAAGCAGGCCGATTTCGCTGATGGATTCACATTTTCGCACGTCCGTTGATTTTTCATTCCCGCCGCTGAGAAACGCGCGGAACTCCGCCTAAATGGCGGCCAATTTTCCCGCTCGCGAGCGCGTTTCTTCGCGGACACGAGACGCGCGGGGGTCAATTATCATCTATCCCTCCGTGTTCGGCTGTGACTTCACGGTCGTTTGGAACAACGGAGCAGCGGTGAAACCGAGGAAGAGGAAGAGCGCGCCGCGCCTCGCCTCCTGCCCGCGGCGATCGGCTTCGCGTTTGAAAGAAATGGAAAAGCAACCGCGAGAGAGAGAGAGAGAGAGAGAGAGAGAGAGAGAGAGAGAGAGAGAGAGAGAGAGAGAAGCCGCGGTCCTCTTCTTATCCGCTCGGTCGCGGAGGCGGCGTAAATTATGCTCGTTTCTTAACGGCTTTCGCGAACGTCGCTTTAAATCGCTTTTAACATCTCGCAAATTGTATCGGCCGAATTATGGTTATTACCTCGCGATCGATAAGCGATCTTCGAGAAACCTCTCTCTGTCTCTTCTTATTTCTCTCTCTTTCTCTCTCTCTCTCTCTCTCTCTCTCTCTCTCTCTCTCTCTCTCTCTCTCTTTGCTCGATTTCTCGAGCGAGCGGCGACGATGTGAAATCTAATAATTTAGGAATTAATGTCCGCGCTGATTTGTTTTCGCCACCTGGTTCTTGTGTGACATGTTTTGTGACGACTTATTTTGGTTTTTGTTTTAATTAACATCGCGATGGAGAGCGACGGAGAGGTCCGTTCGAGCGCATTAGCGCGGCGCTGCACGTGAAAGTCACGATGAAATCGATTCCCGCTTGTGTTTTGCTCGCGTTTTGCTTTACGACGGGACGCGTTCTGGCTCGTAAACGCTAGATACATCCAGAATAGCACCCTGTGTGCGTTTAGCACCGCGGGAGAATCAATCGAGCGATTAAACAATTAAGCGTGCGAGCGCGATAAATCACAAGTAACTCTCGCCCCCCCCCCCCCCCGCGGGTTTTACGGCGCATCGGCTCCGAGTGTGTAATTCGGCGCGGGTTTCGCAACCGGCGGACTTTCGGACGAGTGCGCGCGCGCGGCGAGATTCATGAGAGAAAGTGTTTTCGCGCATTCTTACGACGCGCCGATACGACAATGTGCAACGTAACGGGATATGCGTATTGTAATGTAACGGGCGGCGCTCGTGACGATTCCACTTCATCCTTATTTTGTGCCATCCGGTTTCGTTTACGTTATCGTCCGACTGAAAGAGCGCGCTTGTGTCCACGACGTGGACGACGTGGACGACGTGGACGTGTCCTGTGTCCGTCGCTTTTGTCTCAACAAGGCGCAAAAGTGCAGAGAAAGCCACGGAGAATGAGAGAAAAGAAAGAGTGGGATAAGAGTCCGGGATAGATGATGAGCGTGGTTTTTTCAATTGGAAGTTACACTTCTGTATTGTTGCAATAAATGATCAACAACGTATTAACACATTCGGTAGAGGATGTTGTTGAAGATACGGAAGGATTTTTGCGAGAAAAGAATTCATGGGACTCCAGTAATAGCGAAATGTTCTGTGTTGTTAGAAATATTCTGTGAGGGATAGAGGATGGTCCAGGTGGTTCGGGTTATGTGTGAAGTGATGGTCATGTGTGAGGGGATAGTTGGGCATGCCTATGATAATGTAGAAATTTGTTTGTCTTTATTTATTTTTGTTTTTAGTGTTTTACACTTCCTTTTGTTGATTATTAATAAAATAAAACATTTCCACAATTTTCTTATAGAAACCAAGGACAACATTGGAGAGATGGTTGAAAAATGGCAACACAGAAAAAGGCCCTATGGAAAAACATTGTTTATTAAAGAGAAAAAACGAAGATAGGTTAGTAAAACACATAAAGAAAATGCAGAAGCAAGGAGTCCCTCTCACCCGAGACAACGTACGAAGTTTGGCATTAAATGTCTGGCATTTAATGTTAGATACCCGGGGAAAAATGACAGTGGAATAGGTATATATATATATATATATATATATATATATCTAGAAAACGTCGATTCAATGTCCGTTGCTTGCCTTTTCTTGCTGACAAGGAAACACAGGGAACTCGGAAATTCAAAAAATTATGAAACTTCGCGTCGAAGCAAAGTAATTCATCCGTAATGCAAAACTATTTTTTGTTCGTGCGGAATTCCAGTCTGAGGGGATGAAACCACCCTTCGAAAGAAAAAATCATTTTCATTTTTAGCATGTATCTTTTAAAATAGGATTTCATATGCAAAAATCGTTCACATAAAAGCTGCAAAGGATTTCATACTCTTTGCAATTCTCTTTGTGTATTCAGATTTTGCAAAATTGAAAAATTTTTGAAATCCCCTCCGCCATTCTCCAATTTTGCGAAATCTGAACGCACACATGCAAAGAGTATGAAATACGACGCTACAATTTTCATACGAACCATTTTCGCGTATGCCTCGTATTTTAAAAGATATACGCTAAAAATGAAAATGGTTTTTCTCTTCTCGAAGAGTGATATTTCACCCTCCTCAGACTGGAATTTCGCACGAGCAAAAAATAGTTTTGCATTACGGGTGAACGACTTCACTTCCACACAAAGTTTCATAATTTTTTTGAATTTCCGAGTTCCCTATGTTTCCTTGTGAGTAAGTTGCCCATCTGATCCTGATAAAAATGAACCATCTATCCCGTTTGGAGAGTTCGCGTAAAGATGCGTATACCGCGCGAAACATAGTCTCGCTGACGAATTTCGAGGTCAAATATGCAAATACGATGTTCTTTTTAGTCGTTTCAACTCAGTCGTCTAATATTGTAACTCAGAATGAACCGTATTCGCAAGATATTTTTCCGACGTGTGAAACATTTTGGAGATTAATAGAAACATAAAACATTTATTTACTCACAGTAACAGTGTTTTTGCGCATCAGGAAGAGACACACCTACTCGTGGTACGTTCAACTCACAACTGACCGATCAGCGCTGACGCCTAGCATATATCAACAAAATTATAGCAATGGACCATCTATCCCGGACTTACCCTAAATCTTCAAGCGTGTGACACATCTGTGCCACTTCGTCGAAGCAACTCATGAAATAATTAATATCGTGGAACTTGCGAAAATTCTAAGAAACTTTCGCGGTTCGATTCGCAACTGTGGCTTTATTTCCCACGTCACGTCGTTGAATGACGTCTAATCAATATTAAAAAAAAATATCCAGATAAAAAGCCACTTCTCCGTAAATAGTCTCTCCATTGATGATGCAAAAGTTCGCGAATATTTCCGCAAGCGTGCGCGTTGCGTAACGCGCGCGCGCGCACACACACACACACGCGCGCGTCAACTTTTGAACGCCGCCGCAACTGTCGGCGATCGAAATTCTATGGGGGACGAGGGACTCGATATTTCGCGCAGGCTACAACGTCATTCCCGCAGACGTTTCAATCAAGGTAGCGCCGCGGCGTGTTTGAGCGCTAAATGCGCGGTGAAAATACGAAGAGTCCGCGCAGAGAGGAGTGTGTGTACTCGCGAAAGTGATTCGATAACGCTTCGCCGCCGCGCCGCCACGGCGGTCGCCAGCCGGCCGGCCGGTCAATCGGCGGAGTCACTTTTACTGGTGCTGCCAATGCCGAGAAGTCGGCGAAATTGACGGGTTCTCTCCTCCGTCCGGCCGCGTATTAAACAAACGATACGACCGGTTCTACGACACGCGAACAATGCCGTCCCCGCGGCAGTAAGTGCCTCCACCTACACAAATATTGATACGCACGACCGCGGGCCCGCGCGTACAGGCGGCTCGTTAAGGCAAACCGGTAATTATTGTACCGCAGCGATGAGGAGGATGAAGATGACGCGGTGAAAAGAATCCCGTGAATCATCCGCGGAGGGATGAGAGAGAGAGAGAGAGAGATCAGATATCTCGCTCGGGACTCGGTGCGGTAGAAACGAAGATAAAATCCTGCCGTCTGCTGGAAGATCCAGTCGAGATAAAAGAGCGTCCATAGAAGTCCAGAGTCACAAGTTCGAAGTCTCTCTCGTTTGGAAGCGTATAAATAGGTAGTTTAGCAGATTGACTGCCGCGTCACTCGTATTTGGCTTCCGTGAGGGGCCCATCACCTGTCTGTAGATGATAGTTTTATTCGCCTGATCGCAGGGAAATGATTTTACGAAACATTCGAAGAATCTCGGTTAGACAGAGAGAGAGAGAGAGAGAGAGAGAGAGAGAGAGAGAGAGAGAGAGAGAGAGAGAGAGAGAGCTGTGGGGCGGGGGGGGGGGGACGTGACAAAATACCATTGACTTAAACACCGAGAATTTGAGTCTAATGGGACTCGTACCTGATAAACGTGTTGAGGTATGCACAAATAGAGATGCATCATTTTGACGTGTCATCACAGATGACAAATGACAGTCTGAAGTCTATAGGTCTGAAGTCGAACTTGAAAGCCACGCAACAATTGTCGTGTTTGTCCGACAATCACGAAATCTTTGGCGTTCTTTCTCCGTTAAAGGTTGATTTACAACGGTGCTGCTTTTACTCGTTTTGAGCAAGCTCCTTAAGTCGTCAACGAATTCGCTGGTGAAAACTTCTTCTAGACTTCTTCTCGATTTTTATTCACTAGCGTCTCAAATTTGGAAGACGCAGTGTCTATTAGTCGCTATGGCAAAGTTGAACATGTCCAACTTTTACCGCTCGCGTCAAGCGACATTAAACTGTCTTCTTTTTTTTCTGTATAAGCGGACGCACCTTTTTCAAAAGTTCTTCCAATTTCTCGCACGTTAATCGCAATACTACTTTATGGTATGCGGCTGGATCCTCCAATGCCAATTCTTTGAAAAGATTATTTGACGCAACATGAGTTAATCTTCTACCTATCCACTTACGTACCCACATTCCTTTTTTTTTTTTTTGTTGTTACTGAGCCACGAATTTCTGTTCGAAGAGTTCGTGCACAAAGCACGACAGCAGCTTGAACTATGTCATTCCTTGACGCCATGATCCTTTCAACTGACCGTTTCCGCAAAATTCTCCTTAAAACGCTAGCGACTAAACGCTGTTTATCAGCGTCGTGTAAGTGTTTCGCTCTAGGAAAGAAATTCGCTCTAGGGAAGCGAGAAGCTGGCGACCAAAGAAGCCAGCGTCAAGCGTCGAAAGTAGCATCGTGTAAATCACCCTTAATTCTCGCCTTTTATTGTAGTCGACGTCGACGCTACCTGCTGCCTACGCGCGTATCGACGCCACCGGCGGCGGCGGCGGCGGCGGCGCGCTGTCGTCTTCGCTCTTCACAGAGCCACGTCGTTAAGTAGGATAATCATCGCCACGGTCGTCGCACCGCGCCAGCTCGCTCTCGTGTAATTAAATATCGCTCAAACCGCCGCGCCGCGCGCGCGCGCGGAACAATCATTCTCGTCACGCGCGAGTGCATCGCGATGCGAAGGAAATTGCCTCACGTGTCACGACGCGCCGAATCGTCGCCGGCGTGTGTTGTGCAGCGTAACTTTCCGTTGTGTCGACTTAACGCGGCGGAATCTATTTTCCGGAATCCTCCACTGGAAAAACCTTCCTCCTTGCGGATTTTCGGTAGGACTAAGAGGGGAATTACACGCGGAAGGCCGTTTTCAAGGCTATTCTTGCGAATTTTTTTCAATAGAAACGGTAAGATCAATGGACTTGAAATTTTCACAGTGTATTCATCAATGTTCCAAGTATATAAAATAAATTTTATTGGATCACAAGGACCCCGATTCAATTTGTAATCATTGATGAAGATACAGTCGTTCGTTTGCGAGCTCTATGTTTGCTGTCGACATAATTGCGTCCCTCTCACTACTCTGAATCCAAAAAATGAGATTTTTTTAATATATATAGTTGTCATTACAGCCCGCATCAAAATGAAGGCAGTAGAGCCAAGTTTGGGAAAATAATGATTGTACAAGAAAAAAAGTACCGGAAATGAAACTTTTTTCAGCTGGTAATCATGTTTGGAAAATAAATAAAATAAAATATAACTGTGTTCATAGATAGAGTCGAAAACTACATTTCTACTATATATTGCGTAAAAATTGCAAGTTATTCGCTTCAGTAGTTTTTGCGTAATCGTGTCGACAGTTTACACAATGACGTTTCCAGATAAGCGCGTTTAAAGTTTTATACTTTTTCCATACAGATAGTAACAAATTTATTTTATACTTTGACTTCATTAATGAATACACTGTGGAATTTTCAAGTCCAGTGATCCTACCGTTCCTGCTAAAAAAATTCATAAAAACAACCTCGAAAACGGCCTGCTCCGCACGTCGTAATTCCCCCCTTAATTACACTCGCGCAACCCCTTTGCGTTCCAAAGTCCCAAGGCTGTCGCTTGCGCGTCCACTTGCTCTCGTCTCGCGAAATTCGCCCAAGTCCTCGGGGTAGAGCAACCGGAGGAAAAAAAACCAATCGACCCGGTTGATCGCAATTGGTCGCCTGCGAGAGGAGAGCCGCGTCGCTCGGCGAGTGAAAGCTCTCCTCGCTGAAGAAGTCGAAGGGAAGTATCGAGAGCGTATCGATTCGAGAGCATCGACGCCGAGGCGGAACGTTGAGGAGGCTCTAGAGCCAAGACAAACACACGTTCCCTGCTTAATAAATCAAGAGATCCCTGATCACACGTTTCTCTCTGTCGCTCATCAGCGTTTCGCGCCGAATGGAGGAAACGCGACCGCGCCTTCGCGGATCCAAATGGCGAGGGTGGTCGCGCGAAGGTGGTCGTCCCTTCGCGCTCTCTCACGTCGCTGTGGCTATCGCGGAAATCCCCAGGTCGCTCCGCTCGTCGTCCCGCGGGTCCCTCTGTCGTTGTCGCTAAAAAACTCATCGATTCGCTATCTCCGAC